ATTTTTTTTTCGGATTATTTTATATAAATTAATCACGTTTGCTTACTGCATATGACATATATTCCTGGTTTTGTTAGTGGACTACCGGCTCAATGGCTGCGTGATTATTATTTACACGAAATGATTTATTTATTTATTTATTTTGCTTATAGTGTTCTGAAAGTGATATAAACTAAGAAAAATTCAGAATAAAGAAAACAAAACGTAACTAGCTGAGGTTGGGCCTTATAGCGACCCTTCAACTAATCTGCACGACTTATTAATAGAACGGTAACTGTCTCAACTTCCATGCACTTGTCCTGGGAGTTTCTTAATGAAAAGAATGGACATGAACCTAATCGCCGATAATATTAAGATTAGCTTATAAAATTAATTTACTAAATTGCATGGCACGACCTTTCCATCGGATATAGACTTGCTCTACCTATCGAAAAATATATTGGATATTGAAATTCATTAGGTAGGCTGCTTTGGTAAGCAGTTCGAAATCACGTCAACGAGGTTCTTTGGGTATTTATTAAACATACTTAGTAAAGAAGGATTCGATTTTATGAATATTGATTATGCATGACGCATCACAAGCAAAATGATTTAAAAATTTTACAATATATTATTTCAAATCGAGTGAACTTATAAAGAGGGGATATTAGTCCATTTTCAAAATGGGTTAGCAAGTGTTTTTCTCTACTTTTAATTAACTCAACTAATTCCTCGAGGGCACTTGTTAAAACGACCTTTTCCAATACTCTGAAATTCTGTATAAACATGGGTAATCAACATGTTCTCATAACAAATATATTTGCAATCTATTATTTTGTCACTCAGCCTCTTGAGAGTTTATCTTTGCTCTTAGCAAATTGTACTTAAATTTATTTTCTTATAATTCTTGTACGAAATAGGGCCAATACTACGAAAAGTCCCAAACTAGTACATTTGTGACAAATTTACCCTAAACTAATTTTTGAATACCAAAAACTCCAAACCGATATATTTATAATAAATTTATCCCAAACTAATTTTTTAACCACAAAAAATCCAAAACCGGTATACTCGTGATAAATTTACCCTCAATTAGTTTTAATTAAATTGGATTAATATTACAAAAAATTACAAACTGATGTACCTAACTGGTATACCTGTCAACTGCTATATGTCATTCGACTTAGCAATTTAACGCTAAAATTTAACGGAAATTAACGAAGATCGGTGCATCAATTTAGGATTTTCGATAATCAAAAAGTTAATTCGAGATAAATTTATAGCAAGTATAACAATTTGAGCATTTTCGTGTTATTAATCATTTTCAACTGATAGAATAATGTTATGGTATGGAATTTCGCGTCCTAGAGATTTCCATAAGACGGATTCGGGGACCACGGCGGTCCAAATCAACGAGAAAAAAAACAAAGAGAAGAAGGAAGGCCCCCCCCCATCCATCATCATTCATTTCTTTCTCTCTCCTGCATTCGCTCTCTCTCTCCTGCATTCGCTCTCTCTCTCCTGCATTATTGGTCACCGCCGCACGCGGAAAACGTGCGGTTATTTGCAACCGTGCCCTCGAGCAACACGACAACCTCCGACAGTTGTAAATTGGAAGAAAGAGAAAGAGAAAGAGAAAGGAGGGGGGGGGGGGGGGGGGTTCCTGCCGCTCTTCCCAACGCACCCCGCACACGCGGTCAATTCCGGTAGCCGCCACGTCAGCGCGCGGGCCCCCACCAACCGAAAAACGGCTCCTCGCCATCATCCCCCCCGGTCCGAATGGGGCCGACCCACGGTCGGACCCCTCGGTTCGCGCCACGTCGTCACGGGGCCGTTGGGCGATTCCGCCCCGGTGGGCCCCCACCGATGTCCTTCTTTTGTCGTCTTCCCGGCTGACGTGGCGGCCGAGCGAGCATCCCCTCCCTCGACCACCCCACCCGACCCCACCGGCCATGAACCCCATTCGCCCCCGGGGAAGAAAAATAATAATTAAGAAAACGATTTTCTTTTTTTTTTCTTTCTGAAAATTCGTTAAAGGCGCTTTGTTGAAAAATATAGGATTATAGAATTGGGTTCGGTTTCCAAAGCGATGATGGAGTGTTTTGCTCTTTTTTTTTTCTTCTGGGGTCGGAGAAGATGATGGAGTTGAAATAGGGGATAAATGAACGGGCTAATTATATATAAATATATATAGTTTTAGATCCATCATTAATTTATATCATTCTTTTTGTGAACACCTTACCTTAGATGAAGACTTTTGTGTATCTGGATATTTTAACAATAACCCCTTTTCTTTTCAATGGGACCTGCTTTATATTAATAAGACATCTTTAATTTTTCAGTTGATACCATCAAAAACTTCAAACTGGTACACTTATGACAAATTTACCTATAATTAATTTTTTGACCACAAAAAGTTTAAAACTGGTACATTCGCGACAAATTTACCCCATGATAGTTTTGATTAAATTGTACCGTTAAATTGCTATTGGTATGCCAGTTTGGGGTTTTATCTTTCGTTTGTCACAGTGTACCAATTTGCGATTTTTTTGTAATATTAATATAATTTAATGAAAACTAACAAAGGGTAGATTTGTCATAAATGTATCAGTTTGAGATTTTTGGTGGTTAAAAAATTAGTTTGGGATAAATTTGTCACGGATGTATAAAAAATTAGTTTAGAGTAAATTTATCGTAAGGGTACCAATTTGGGTTTTTCATGATTTACCAATTTGAGATTTATAATGACATTACATATAAAAAAAAGTTTCAATTTAGATTTATAATGATATTACACATAAAGAAAGTTATCGATAACGTAACCAACTCTGAAGACGTATCGATTCGTAAAGGGTACGTGCCTAACCTTTCGTATCATCTCTAACAAAAACAAAAAGTTTTTTTTTTGTTGCTAAAACAACAAAAACATCTCGTTAATAATGATAAAAAAGAAATTACTTTTTTTTTCTTTTTTAATCTCCTTTTTCCGGGTGGAATTTCAGGAATAAAGAAACGTTGCTGTCGGCTTTCGAAGCGTCAAACTGATGGATAAGCGAAGGGCACGCGACGTCGCGCTCGGAGGGGGGAGGAGGGGGGGAAGTTCATTGCTTTTTCTTTGCCAGCTATAAGGCACTTCGCATCGGGGTTATCAAATTTATTTCTTTTTTCAGAATATTATTATGAACAGAAAGAATTAATTTATGAGGCTTTAGTTTGATCGAATATTATTATTATTATTAGTTTCTTTTGCTCGGAAAAGAATTATGAAAAAAGTGAAAATAATTGGCGGGGGGTGAGCTTTTGGAAAGGGACAGCATCTGCAGCAATTGCGTGGGGGATCCCGACCCATGATTCCCGCCCATCAGCCCAAAAGCCGTATGCATCCGTCGTACTGTGTAGCTTGTACCCTCAAACTCTACTCTTCTTCTCTCTCTCTCTCTATCTCTATCTCGCCCCTCGTGCGCATTCTTTTCTTCTTTCTCGTTTTTTTTAAACCGGATAAGATAAGATTGCTCCGGGAGATCGATGGTGTCTGATTGATTTTAGAGTTTTATCTTTTGGTCATGTTATCGTTATGTTTAACTATTGTGAAGCCACGGTCACTGAACATGTGTAATGAGGAGACAAAAAGGTGTTAGAGAGTAGAATGGAAGTCGAGTTGATTTTTATTATTAGCCGTTTGGTTACTTAACAGGTGTGTCCAGAGAAATGTTGTTGACGGAAATTTGGATTGTGACGAATGGTTGGAGATGTATGAGCGTTGAAACTTGTAGATATTTAATGGAGTTTGTGAATAAATTTGAAGGAAGGAGGAGGAGAAGATGAGTATGGCTTTCATTGAGATTTTTTCGACATTTGTTTTGTGGCTTTTGACTTCGGCTTTATTCGAATGGCTTGAGACCATCCGGAAAAGGGCCGTCCTAACGGTCCTTAAATTCTCTTATTTGGTTTGATGCAGGGTGACAATGTGTACCTTTCCGGTTCTCAAACTTCCCCCCCGAATAATGGATATCATCTTGAGAAGTACTGGGATGGAGTTGAATTCCGACCACAACGGTTTACGGATTTCGGTCTTTGGAGACCTGATCAACCCATTGAGATTGAACTAAACAGTACGAGTTAATTTGAAGATTCAAGGCCCACCGAAATTGATTTACACAATGGTCGAATCACGTGGTAATAATACATTGAAAATATTTAGCAACGAGAGAAGAAAATTTCGAAATCCAAAAACATAAAATTTAATTGGGATACATTCACACGAACGTCATGATTGATCTATTAAGTCGCTCAATCGTGTGGTTAATGCTTCAAATACTTTTTCTAAGGATGTAAAACGAGGAAGCAATTTCTAGGAATTCACTAGGTCCAGCGGCCATGGGGTCGGGATCTAGCTAAAGAGGACGGGATCAAATCTCAGAAATAGGAAGAAGAACGAGAGCAGTAGAAGTTAAGAGAACTGCAAAATTAGAGGGAGAAAACAAAGGGGTTCTGAGAGACAGAGCACATGTTGGGTAATGAGAGGACAAACTTATCTCGAGCAGATTCATGAAACTATAGGTATAAACGCATCAAAAAAATGGGCGTCCATAGGCGAAGTACCTGGTACTTAGCAGATGCAAGATTTCTTTATTTACTTGTATACATATGTGTATTATAAGTCTGCAAATTTTAAAGTTAGGTAGCACAACTTCTGAAAAGCTTACGTAAGCTGCTCTAATTAGGGCTATGCAACTGGTCTAGTTCTTGACCGCCTATAGAAACAGGTCCGGTCGGAACTTATACTGTGTGAGTAGGTTTCCAAATTGTGGGTGTTAGACCCACCCACTCACCTAGGAGCTGGTTAGAACTTGTCTGAAGAGAATGATTTACCTTTCTTAAATGAGCTTAGACCCACCCCACCCATCTGTACTATCGCTATACATTTCTATTTATTTTGTATCAATATTTTACTTTCAACTATTTTGTTACTGATATTATTTTGTTTTGATTTTTTTTAAAATGAAGCTAAAAAAAAAAGAAAAAAAAAAGAAACCAGTTTCCAGATAGACTCTGGAGCCAAACTGGGACAAGCAAGGTAGGTTCCTGGACAAATAGTAAGATCCAATTTTCAAAAACCGGGAACAGGGTAGGTTCGGCGTCTGGATCCTACTGACTTAAGAACAATCACACTCCTAGCTCCAATAATGGGAGGCACTGCCAGTGTGGGATGTCTGCAAAGTATATCGGCCACAACATCCTTTTCACGGATTACTATCTGAAACTGTACCCAAGTTAACCATGACCCAAAGGAGTTGCGTAACATGTAACATGGACATCAATCCTGTAGAGTCGCTGTTTGTAAGTTAAGCTTTTCTTTCTTATGGCCGGTAAAAAGGGGCCAAAAGAAAAGAACCAAAAGAAAAGAAGAAGAAAAAAAGGAACATTTTCACTTACTCAAAAGGGATAAAATGAGCTTCTTTAATTCCTCTTTATTCCTCCATGGGCTTGAATAACACCACACATGAGTTCGCTTCTCTTTGAATTTCTTTATGCACAGACCATGCACAACTCTTTCAAATTCCTCGTTCTTCCAGGGCTCCCTGACCAGGGTAAATGCCTCATTTTAGGTTTTCCGACCATTTATTGCACTTTAAATAGTTTAATAACGTCCAAGCTCGTTGACAGAAAAGGGATTTTTTTCGCTTTTAATCGCAACAGTTCATAATATACAATGAAAATACAGAAAAAAGAATAAAATCAATAAGGGGAGAGAGAAAGAAGATACTAGCTCTGGTAGCTGCTAATTATGCCGATCCCCTAATTTTACAGGATATACACTTTGATGTTGCAAGTGCTCCTTCACGTTCGAATCCACAAGGAGATGATGAGCAAGGAAATGATAGCTAGTTAAAGGAACTTCACAAATGTGTAGCCTGGATTATGGTCGAGTCGAGGTTTGATTTCAACCAGGTCTCAAATCTTCCTTTCAGTTCACCAAGCAGGTGCGACAAATCCTGCCTCCATGACCAAGTAGGATTATTAAGGGCGCGAATGGAATTAAGACAGACGAGGAGGGTACCACCTTCATGCAAAAGGACCTGCATTTTGGTCGAAACAACTGAGTTATAGGTACCCAGAACAAAGGCCAGGGATGCAATTGGAATGTGACATTGGGTCAATGTGAAGACTTAAGGAGGCATTGCAAGAAAGTATGCATAGTGTTCTTCTAATGAATTGTGGTCATTGGACATGTACTTAGCGTCAGTAACTCCATGATGCCCCAGTCAACTAAGAAAAACATCTCTGTCACACCTTAATTTAATCGTATGAAACTGTAGGAAATAATAGAATGACAGTTCCATATGCACATGGAAGTTACACTATGCAACCTATTGCAATGGGGTGACAATGTGAGAGAAACTGCACTATGCCACAAGCTGCAGCGGCTAGGATCAACAGAAGCCCAACGAACAAACAAAGACGGACACGTCACCGATGTGAGTTAATTTGGTCAAGGAGATATTGGAACTTTTATTGTCTACAAACTCGGTATTGGTGCATTCTAAGCAATTTATTGGATTATTGCCATTATCAACTCACAAGGTAGACTGAGGAAATATCGAGAATGGCTCAGAGCAAAATGATCAGAATGAATCATACCGTCAACCACAAGGGAAGAAAACCCAATACAGATGGTAAGGAGGCCAAAAATATGCAAGATAAAGCAAGAGCCACATTCTGCTTAACCTGCAAGTAGATACTGTCAGAAACCATGACATGATGTCCATACGGGAGATACAAGGGACAAGCATTCTTAGAAGACATAGACAAGAATAAATGATCATGCATCGAAGTACCAGGGACGTTGTATGCCGTGACTTGGCAATAGAGAATGGAACACCCGATATGTTATCTCGCAGCAACAGCACGTCAGCAACAGCGACAGCAGTTGCACTAGCACGTTGAGCAAGCACGATGCCCACCGTAGCAGCAGCAAGAGCAGGTGCATCATTAATACCCTCACCAACCATAATAAGGCCTCCTCCTGTAAACAAATTCCAAAATACTTTACCTAACAGTGACATATTGTGCAAATACATTATGAAGGAAGAATCAAACTTTATCCCCGATAACAAATCCAGTTGTAGAGTATGTGGCTCAAAAGATGCGAAAGGAAGGGAGAAACTAAACCGGTATTCCAATAAACACAATGGAAGCCTATCGAGCAATAGCAATAAAACTGGCGCACCAACTCCATTTTGGAAAGCAGATATCTTGAGTTTAGCCATTAAAATGAGTAATCAATCGAACGAAGAAAAAGCATCAAGAAGAAGAGGAACTTGCAACTACTAATTCGTTTAATATTTGATACAGAAGAATCATCAAACAAGTATGTAGAAACTTGGGGGGTCAATATGCATCTGATGGTTTCCATGAGCGTAGGCAACAGTTGAAAAATTGAGCGTGAATGGAAAGATGCTTCTCGGTAGAGTGGAAGCAACCAACACAAGACATCATGTGTCAAACCTTTTCTGTTCTGAATTGTCAAGAAAACACCAAATGTGCGTCCATTTTGGACCTGGATAGTCCATGTCTATGAATAATCAGTTAAAGCCAACTCATGGACCCCAAGGATGCCATTGTATTCACCCAAAAAATAAAAACTAAAAAATTCAGGGGAAACGGTCAATAAAATTAATAATTAGCAGATTCGAAATGAAGAATACAAAAAAAGCAATTGCTACTCATGGAAACAAACTACATATCCATAAGCACAAAAACTTATTGTAAAATGTGATGAATCCAAGAGAGTTAACAGGTCAATTGCTACTTATCAAACAAACTTTGTGTTTATAAGCACAAAACCACAGCAGTCATCATTCATCAAGAGTGATTTTAACTTCAGGTTGGAAGATCACCTGTATCTCTTGAGATGCTTCTTATGTAATTAAGCTTATCCTCAGGCTTCAGGCCACAATAAACTTCATCAATACCTACAGAATTTGCTACTCTCCATGCACTTGACTCATGGTCACCAGTCAACATTATTACACGCAGATTGGCTTCATCTTTCAATGCCGCAATCACTTCTGCAACCCCTTGCCGAGGTCTGTCCTCGAGATGAATAAGTGTTATCTGCATAAACTTATAAGCAAGCTGAGTATAGTACTTCAATTTTGCCAAAAGTAGAGCTATTGAACACGTAGTTTCAATCCATAATATCTATACAAGCCACATAAGTCAGATTCGAAGAGTGGGTGTCAGGTGTCAACATGTATCCCAACATCTTAGCCGTCCATTTTCCAATTTATGGTATATGTAGACCCACCAGCATATAAATATACACGACCTTTGCTGTACAACTTCGTTGAAAGTAAACACATTTTACTAACACAACAAGGAATAACAGCATCACTTGAGCATTACCTTTTTATTAACAATAAGAGCAGCATGAACTAAATCCCTTCCATAAGAAGATGCAGTAACAGCCTCCTTTATCTTCTTTGATTCATTTTCAGATTTAACAAATGAAGTTATAAAGTCGATGGAACCAAGTGATGCCTTCAAACTTTTGCCACCTCCACTTCCTGCCTATAGTGAAACAGAGAAAACACACTCTGATATCAGTGAAATGCAAGTTAAGGGATACAAACAACTCCCTCTCAGTCTAGGATTTGTTGTACCATCCATGTGATGATAAAGGCAGAAAACTGACATTTGTGAAACATACAGATGCCAAAGGAATATAATATAACATTATGTTCAGTGAAGATAAGAATTATGTTGCAATGGAAGAAAATGGCATTGTTATGTGACTCACGCCATTGTACTTTGCTCAAGCAGGCATCTAGAACAATGAACTGCATCTCATTTGATTATGCTAGCGAAAAATTGAGATGATTAAAGTTGCTGAGAAAATATCCATTGAGTAGAGGTTCTTTACAGCTGATAACATTTGTGAGAAAGCTCGTCTTCATAATAAATGTTCACCAGCTGCAAATCTCCAGATCAGTGTCCTTGATCAACATATTTTGCAGATGAAAACTTTCAGTTTGAATAAGCCAGAAATAGTTTGGCTCTCCAAAACCAAGAGGCCAAAATGCTTGAATCAAGCACAAAGTGAATGTTAAGAGGCCCACACTTAGCCCATCAGCATATCATAATAATAGGCGATAGTCGCCTGAAAATAATAGATTGAGAAACAGATGATACTGTAACTATAATCAAGCTCATTAGTGAGAACTAGAGAGGGAAACTCTTTCCTCCCCGTAAAACTAATGGCCAACACCTGAAGGTTCCAGCTGACATGATCCTACGTCTAGGTTGGAAATCATCTGTGGCTGTTGTTTGGGTTGTTAATGAATGCTTAGGAAGATGATTGAAAGAAAAAGTGAGGATAGACCCATGCTCAATTTTTCACCATCCCTTATGCTCTTTTTCCACAACTCAATTGATAAAAATGAGCATAATGATCGAAAATAAATCTCCACGGTTAACTTTGCTTGGACTTTCCATCAGACTAGACCTATTAAAGGAAACCTCAGAATGGTAAATAAAAACGACATCCATTGTGATGTTCTTTTACAATCGAAATGAAAACAATTGTCAGTAATTTAGACAACCTGAAAGCACTAAACTTCACAAGATCAAGCATTTGATCCAATTAGAGCTAAACTTTCTTAAGATTGGAAGTTTCTCCTTTAAAATGATCTATGGCCCTCAACTTATGCTCCAAACTTTGTGAAGTCCTTTTAGGATCAAATGAACACATTTATAAGTAAGTTAGACAATTAGAAAATTCTTCACCTTAAAGTCAAGCATTTGACCCCAATTATAGCTAAACTTTTTTAGGATTCAAAGTTCGTCCTCTAGTACGAACTATAATCCTCAACTTGTGCTCGTGAAATTCTTTTTAGGATAAGGGGACAAACACACTAAAAATTCTTCAGTGTAGCATGAATAGATTTCTGTGGCAGCAGAGAACTATGCCAAAGGGCATGATGGAAGTATTTTAGAGGCAAAGGTCATGTAAGCCCCTGGTAAGGTTTAATAAGTTCAAGTTCATTTCAGATGGACAATAGCTTAGTTGCTGGGCGCTTGGACTAAAAATAGCACGACCAATGCATTGGCCGGCACCAGTTGTCATGTTAAACAGTAAGTAGATACTTAAACAACAGATCGCAAAGTGGTCTAATTAGTAACTCGCATCTTGATATTGATTTTGAGAATACACTTTCTAACCATATCAATACCGCTTCCTAATTAAGGGTTCTTCAAGCTATTACAAAGCTAAACGGTTTGCTCAATAAGATACAGATTTCTATTCAAGGGTTCTTCAAGCTATTACAAAACTAAACGGTTTGCTCAATAAGTCTTTCAAAAGATGTCAACTTTTGTTATTTCCCGTTGTCCTTCATTAATTTCCTTACAACCTAACTGCTTTGACGATTTCTTACCTTTCAAGCCCTCAATGAAGCTGTTGGTTCAGCGCCACTTCAAGCAGTGTGAGAGCCACTCAGAAATACTGAAGTGGTGGCTGCTCTCACCTTCTGAACTAATCTAGTTGACAAATAGTATCAAAATTGCAGGGAATTCCTCATAGGACATTTATAGGATGATACCACTTATATTAGTACTAGGAGGTACATCAATTGATTTCACCAAATATGATCATTTAGGTTTATTCAATGCAACTGCTCCTTCACCCAGGAGCATTTTGCGCATCACAATGAGGAGACGTATTTGATACTTGAATCTTGAAGTAGATGCCTACACAGTTGGTACTTAGCCTTCAGAGACTATGAGTGTAGCAGGAGATGGCTATGCAGAATGATTCAATTCTCAGGCAAAGGAAATCTTGAATCAAACCATTTGAGCCGACTTCGACAAAGGAAACCAAATTCTGCAGTGCAATCTCCAAATTTGAAATGGATTGTCCTACAGCCATCAAAATAGTACATGGCTAATTTATCTCATATTAGGCAGCATAATTATGTGGTGTTGATAGTTAAAAAATACTTATTTGACAGTTGGCCTATTAGACTTGATGCACCCAAGGGATCTGCAGAGAAGCTGAGGTCTTCTGGAATTAATTAATCCTATAGAGGTCTTGACCTCTCAAACTTCTGTCACTGTTAGTTATATACTATAATCTCATCCTTGACGACAATACTGTCACACCAGCAGGATGTAGGACTGTAGTGATTGAAGAAACTCATAGCTAAGACATCCTCTTGAATATACCACAGAATTCAACCAAGTGGCATTTACTCAGAGGAAAACTCAATCCATGTGTTGCCAATATTAAAGCTTCTAACAGATCTAGGGGGGTATAGAATGAGACTGCACATCGAAAAATAATAACGAAGCTGTGAAGCAAAAATTTGCAAACAAAAATTTTGGTGTTTGTGGAAACTCTACCTCCGTATTGTTCAGAGTGGCAATAAGACCTCTACCAGGAAAATACTCAAAACTCTCAACAGAAATGGAAGGAAGGTCCTTCCCCACACAATGATCTACGACAGCTCTGCAACAAACAAAAAAGGCAAGTTCTTTCTTAAGTAGAGCAAAAAGTGTATATCAATATTCAAGAGACAACAAGCACACCACTTCAATAAAAATACAAGCAATTTCATATTTCAGACCAATTGAACCAGCGTGTATAGCAGTACAGAACACTAAAATAGAGTACTTTTTCGTCTTGAACAAGGATGGGTATCTTCAACAGCCTGAGGCTTTAAAGAACGAAAGCTGTTTTCTTATCAAATGTCAAAGAACTTATAACAAAATCTCGTTTTAACAGAGTATATTAGTAGCCGATACATTCACTCTTATGCACAATAAGTAAATTTTCTCGGACACACATGTTCAAGAAAACTATTCCCTAAAGAAAAGGAACTCCAATGTCATTTAGTTTACAACAGAAAAGAGAAAAAGACAATCAGGGTTCTGCTCAGTATCAGCAGTGGACCATGGCCGTATTAATCACGTTGCCAATGTTCTAATTTATCCCTATGCAAAAACTTTTTTTAGCCACCTCTTGTAATAATGTGGCAATCTTATTATTGAGAACTGATATACTTGTCTGGTGCACCAAATGGAGCTTTTCACTCTAGCACATTTTACAATGTTAGAAAATTACAATAGAGCACATAAACGTATTGATTGATTTACAGACGTTCTCTTGTTACTGCCAACTAGAAACAAAGTAGGTGATGCTCATATGTGTACACTATGGACAATATTCACCGGAGATGGACTTTTAATCAGACCTTGATTATCAAACTAGAGAATGAAAGAATATATTTTCTACCCTTCTTTAATGATCTGGATTGTCAAACTAGTAGCACTCGATTACTACAACTGCTATATATAGATGTCATAATGAGTAACATGTAAGGGAATACTCTAGAACTTGTTTTTTTATAATTGAATGAGGATGCCAAGGTTTTTTTTTAGCAATAAAATGATGGCTGTTGATCCATCCATCAACTTAAACATACAAATGTCAAGATGAGGTAGAGCCAAATGTGACCAAGGCATAAGAAGTCAAATGAGAAAAGTCCGTAAAACTGCGTCATGTTTACCTGACTAGTATCCTAACATCCTGTCCAAAAGATTTCCTCTTTATTATTTTGACTTTTTCAAACTCTGCAATGAAGGAGGTGCCTCAATCTGCTGAAGCCACTCCTGAAACTTTATAAGAAGCTTGCTCTTTCGACCCAATTGGTATTTCACTGCTGGTAAATCTAGGGATGAAATGCAAAGAGACTTATGACCTTCCTCATATGTTAACAGATCCGTAATACACTAGTTCTAAACCGTTTCTACAGATTACAACCATATGTCTTCAATCTGTAAGATCCAGCAATGAACCCACCACAAATGTTCACAAACGACTATTCATAGCCTGCAACCTCAATCATTCATATCCTTATGCCTAATCAATTAGGAATTTGGGCCCTTCATATACCATCAACTAACCGTAGAAAACCTTGCTATATAAATTATGCTCTTTTGAGATCTTGCTGACCTGTGTCATGTATCTTAGCATTAGCACATTAAAGAACAACAACTAGAAATGCTATATCACAGTAAGTTTCTGACAAAGAATATCTGTAAGGAAAGAATGTCAACATTCAACAGAAGCCTGCTTCATATAGCCAGAAGTCTGGCAAAAACATGAAAAATCAAGCAAAGTACCTTCCAATAGGATGTGTGGTACCCTTCTCCATTGCAGCTGCTACAGCAAGAGCTTCTTCTTCACAGCTTGGATTGCAACAAGAAACAATTTTTGATTCGTCTTCTCTTTTCCCATGACCATAGATTGGTTCTACTGCTTTGAACATTAGCCCGCCAGTGGTCAATGTCCCAGTTTTATCAAATGCTACAGTGCGGCAAGAAGCTAGAGCATCTAAGACGTGCCCACCTTTCAGCAATATCCCCTAGTAAAATTAAGATAGTATTAGACATTATCATAATCACGAGCAACTTATGTACTTCTCCCACTTGCACAGGTGACAAGAGAAATGACCGGTATAAAAATAACGACTCTAAAAAAAGTAAAGGCACAGAACTGTATATACTGCGGTATAGTTTAATGCAAACATATGCAAAGTATCTTATGAAATGGTATACAAAGCCATGTTTATCTATCTGTTGAGCTTTGCACCTAACTTCAGATATTTTACCAAAAGATAGTGAATTCACTCGTAATAAAAAGACCATATTCAAATATGCCAAGTATAAGGTCATGATGCTCATCAACTGAATAGCTAAATTTCAAGAATTTACCAGTAATTGTGCTAAACAGAAATGGAGAGCCAACACTTAATCAGAAAAGAAAATAATTTTATTGGAGTTAGTTGACAAGTACCTTTCTTGCACAGGAACTAATTGCAGTAGCATAGGCCAGCGGAGCTACGGCTAAGGCACAGGGCGATGCTGCTACCAAAAGGCCCAATGCTCTATATATTGACCCTCGACAATCTGAATGATCATGAAATCGGAAGGCTAGAATTAAAAGTGCAATTGTAAACTTGCTGTAAGAAAAAGAGGTTATCTGAGGATGTCTCCAGAGTCATGACCCAAGAGTAGGCCTAATTCCAAACAACGATCGATTATTTCCGATTAATGCTCCTCATGAAAATTCTGATGATCTCCTCAATTTAGTCAGAACATTTCAAGTTTCTATAGAGATCTTTCGTTATATCTCGGATGTATTTAGTGTGGTCTTAATGATCGGTTCCGGTAATTAAGGTGTAAGAATGTTTTGACTTAATCAAGCGATTTGGTACATTCTTCAACAATGAACACTCGTCAGCTCAAATTGATCATTACTAGATTGGTAAGCCCTAATTTCAGGCAATGACAATATGTGTGTGCATCCTTACTAATTGCTCCACATACAATTATAGAATGAGAAACAAGAGAGAATAATTGTTCCTATGAATAACCTAAGTCGTACTCAGCATAAGGAGATCTTTGTGCGTGCGTGCCCGAGAGAGAGAGAGAGAGAGAGAGAGAGAGAGAGAGAGAGAGAGAGAGAGAGAGAGAGAGAGAGAGAGAGAACTCAAGCATCGCCCTTCTTAGGTAGCTTAAGACTTTCATGTACCTATCAAGAATGGCATACCTCCTATATATAGCTTGTCCACCATATGTCTGAATAAAGCGTGACTATACAACAGCAGCATCTCCCTAAAGCTAATATTTTGCATATTCTAGTTTAATATTCTATTATTCCAGCATGATAATTTGCTATTCATAGAGAAGAGATTGCTTTTCAGTGTAAAGTATCAATCACGTGCAGGAGATTTCCACAACCAGACAATCCATGCACAATGGTTTGTCCACCTATATTGTCAGGATCTTTCCAGAATACTTGTTAATTGCTAAAAAAAGGAGCCAACCAATGGTTAGGGTGTATGGAGTTTTCCTACACTTGTTAATCTAGTTAAAACCACACTTCCTCTCTTATGAACAATTAGAATGAAAACTATGGCCATTTACCCAATAAAGCTGGTTACTTTACAAGCATAAAAAGACTTAGATGGACACTTTTCACAAAAGTAATTCTGTACTGACGTCATACCTGAGGTGCTAAACAATGGCCATTTGAACAAGAGCGGGCCAACAATGGCAACTGCAATTGATAGAACTACAACCACCTTGCTGTAATGCTCACCAAATTCATCAAGCCATCTTTGAAGCTTGGGCTTATTGAGTTGTGCTTCTTCTGTCAACTGTACGATTTTGCTCAGTGTTGATTCTTTCCAGGTCTTTATTGCCTAAATGAAAGTTGAAAATATATTTTTGAGAAAGAGAGTGCATGCACAAGTTACGTTGAGCACCTTATAGGCAGCATCATAGTAGGTACATTCTCTTGTAAAAGTACCAGGGAGTACTCAAAGGTTATCCGTACATGGTACTTATGTGGTACATATACCAATTGCTGGATATCCATGCTTCGTAGATTAAATTATTAATATGTAAGATTGAGAAAGCTTATACTAATTACTGAAAAAGCAAGCAACAAAAGCTCAGTCATACAATTCAGCTCATACTCCAACATCCAAGAATTCAAATTTTGAAGTGCAAGTTTTTAAGGACATTTCACTTTACTATACCTCAAGGTTATAAAATAACAAATCCACATTTCACAAAACATTTGAAAGTAAGCAGAGCTGAAATTGGCAACGGGAAAAGCAGATAACACTATAAACAAGAAGATAGCTTCATGACATTTTTTAATATTCTGAAAAGGTTAGAAATTATCGGTAGGACACGGTACATACCTTTACAACTATTCTACCATCCAAGTTCCTTGCACCGCTGGGAATCCTATCTCCACATTTAGCCTCTAATGGTTTGACTTCTCCAGTCAAGTGCTCAATGGTTATGGTTGCACTACCCTGGAGAACTTCACAATCTACAGGCACAGACTAACCACAACACTAGTGTTATTCTCAGATGTTAGGAACTTTCAAGACATAAAAAAAAATAGTAAAAGAAAAATCATGAACTTTCAAGAAGAAAAAAAAGAGAAATGTGGGAAGTACTGGAAGTGTAAAAAAGTCTCGGCATCATTCACAGGACTAACTAATACACAAAAAAGTCAAACTTCTCTCGACCAAGATTTGTTTGACAAAAATTTTGAGGAAACATGATGGTTCAAGGATGAATAAGTGAGGCAATTGGCCTTTGCTGACCTCTCCAGCTCCAACCAAGATATAGGAGCCGACTGCCACATTTTGCACGGGAACACTTCTATATGCTAAATCAGAGAACTTAGGTGATTCCTCATCATCCACATCCAAGACAAGCGCAAAATCAGGATAATTTTCCTTCAGCTCTCTCACGTCAATCATTGAACGGCTGGTGAAGTACTCCTCAGCTGCAAATTATACGAATTAGCTGGGACATTCCCAACTTGTATTAGGTGCATCAGAATCAGAATAGCTAGCTCTGCTCACCAATATGAGCCAGATTAAACATCGCCAGAAGTAAGCCCCCTTCCAAGGGGTTTCCCATGAACGTTGATGCAAAACCCGCAAGAGCCATCAACACATGGATGTTTACTCTTCCAGCCGCAATATCAGTGAGTGCATCAAGGGAAGCCGATACCTAAGATAAACCACAAGATGGGGGATCTTTATCACATCGAATAAATTTTGGAAAAATGACAGAGACACACTCGAAGTTGAGTAGAACTAGACAGCGTGCCCCATATTCATCTAACAGTACAGCTGATTTTGGTATTACTTTGTGTATCACAGCAAGAGCTGAGGCCTAATTCAGGAACATATCCTTTCCTTTTCTGACAAATCGTCCCTTTGAAACAAATGTAGGCCAGAAAGCACAATCCTCCTAAAACATGTCTCCACGGTGCTAAGTTCCATTGTTTAACTTCAATGACATAACTTAAATAACCCTTCCACAGGAACTGACAGTTCTATAATCAGAAAAAATCTAATCCGATTAACTTCATCAGATAATGCTTCAACTTTCCCCCTTGATTTGCTTAAGACAGACCACACAACGTAGGAAAGCACAACGAAACCGACAAAATTCAGGAACAAAGGCTCCACGTTGGGTGGCAAACTAACAAGTAACATGAAAAGCCAGATAAAATTCTCACTCCAACGAGGGGAAATGCGAGGAGTATCAAAGAGTTCTGAAACGGCTTCACCACCGGCTTCGGAATCAGGTAAGGGCAAGCAGCAGCGGCTAGAAACAAAGCCACCGAGCAACAGCACGTCTGCAGATTCTCCCTCAACAAATTCGCCAAGTCCACCCATCCAATTGCTCTGGCGAACTCGTCCAGCGCCCTCTGCGGTCCAGCCGGCTTCGCGTCGCCTCCGTGATGGTGGTGGCCGTGGCCGTGGCCGTGGTGGTGGCCGTGGTGGTCGTGATCGTGGTCGTCGTCATGGTGGTGGTGATGGCCGTGGCCGTGGTCGTGATCGCCAGCTTTGGCAACGGGACGAGATCGCCAATCGCGAGGAGCACCCGAGAATCGGATTCGGAGCAACGAATCGGGGAAGCCGGGGTCGCCGGAAACGCGGAGCAGCGGCCGGGAAGCAACGATTCGCGGCGGCGCGACGACGGCGCGAGAGGTCGGGGACCGGAATTTGCAGAGATCGACCGCGCGAGGGAGGGCGTCCATCGGTGAAAGCGCCGAGGGGGAGGGCTCAGTTCAGGCCATGAACTGAAGAAGAAGAAGGTGAAGAAGGTGAAGAAGAAGAAGGAGGAGAAGGTGGTTGGTTCGTCAGTTGGAATCAGTGCTCGGTCGTTTTGTCGAAGGAGAGGGGGAGAGACGACAAAGTTGGAAAAGTCGGGCGGGGGTGGGGAGGGATGGAGTTATGGTATCCACACCATGTGCTCATATACTCGGCGACGCGACGGGCCTGCCGTTTCGCTCTTGTAACTTGGAGAGGGTCCTTTGACCCTCGCACGAAGAACAATGACATCATAAGCACACGAACTTTCGCCCGATTTACAATCGTGGACCTTGACTCAATTATTTTCTGGCATTTAGGTCCCGTTTGGTTCAAAGATTTAGAACTTCATTTGAGCCTCATTTTAGCTCTAAAATTTTTTTGTGAAAAAACAAATCCCTTGTAATTTCAAATTTCGTATACATTGTCCATGGGCATTTTCGTCTTTTAGCTTTTTCTTTTCTTTTACTTTTTTTTTCTTTCCGGCGAGGGCCCTCGCCGCTGTCCCGCGAGGGCCCTCGCGCATCCGGCGAGGGCCGCCCTCGCCGCGTCGGCGAGCCTCGCCTCGCCCGGGCGAGCGAGGCGAGGCTCGCCGGCGCCGGGCGAGGGAGGCGAGGCTCGCCGGCGCCGGGCGAGCCTCGCCCGGCTGGGCGAGGAGGCGAGGCTCGCCGACGCCGGCGAGCCTCGCCCTCGCCGCGAGCGAGGCGAGGCTCGCCGGCGCCGGCGAGGCTCGCCTCCTCGCCGACGCCGGCGAGCCTCGCCTCGCCGGGCGAGGGGGGCGAGCCTCGCCGGCGCGGGCGAGCCTCGCCTCGCTCGCCCGGGGCGAGGGCGAGGCTCGCCGGCCGGCGAGCCTCGCCTTCGCTCGCCGGGCGAGGCGAGGCTCGCCGGCGTCGGCGAGCCTCGCCTCTCCTCGCCCAGGCCGAGGCGAGGCTCGCCAGCGCGGCGAGCTCGCCCGACGCCGGCGAGCCGCGCCCTCGCTCGCCTGGCGAGGACGAGGCTCGCCCGACGCCGGCGAGCCTCGCCCTCCTCGCCCGGGCAGGGCGAGGCTCGCCGACGCGGCGAGCCTCGCCTCGCGGGCGAGGAGGCGAGGCTCGCCGCGGGCGAGCCTCGCCTCGCTCGCCCAGGCGAGGCGAGGCTCGCGCGTCCGGCGAGCCTCGCCTCCTCGCCCGGAGCCAGGCGAGGCTCGCCGGCAGCCGGCGAGCCTCGCCTCGCTCGCCGCGAGGGGCGAGCCTCGCCGACGCCGGCGAGGCTCGCCTCGCTCGCCCGGCGAGGCGAGGCTCGCCGGCGGCCGGCGGGCTCGCCTCGCTGGGCGAGCAGGGCGAGCTCTGCCTCGCCGGGCGAGCGAGGGCGAGCCTCGCTCGACGCCGGCGAGGCGGCCCTCGCTAGGAAAAAAAAAAAGTAAAAAGAAAAAGAAAAAGCTAAAAGACGAAAATGCCCATGGACAATGTATATCGGGTAAATGTGTCACAAATAACAAAGTTTGGGGTTTGTGTCACAAAAAGTTCGAGTAATGTGTCACAAGTGGAAAGTTTGGGTTTTGGTGGTTTTTCCCTTTTTTATTCACTTTGGGAAGATGTAATTGCATTTGGAATGCTTTCCAACGGACCTTTGTTGGCCAATGCTCCACCGGAGGTGCTTTGGGAAGTTACATTTTCGGAATGCAACTTGCACCGTTCATCGATACTGTTCATCTTCCCCAGACCGAGGTTCGGCGGCCAGAGACCGCCACCTGAGGGCTAGCCCGACCTCGGCGACCGTCGCCTGGGGTCACCGGGATCGCACGACCCAGGCGACGCCCGAGGTCCGGCAACCCCAGTCGGCGGTCGCCGGGGTCGCGTGACCCCGGGCGGTGGTGGCTGGCGACCAGATCTGGTCGGCGGCGGCGGCCGGTGGTTTAGCTCCACCGGAGCTTTTTTTTAAAAAAAAAAAATTAGCAAAAGTCCTTTAGCCTAAGTTGATTTTAAAAAACACTTACCAAACACTACTTGCATTTCGGAAAACCCTTTTAGCCCAAAAGTATTTGCATTCCCCCAAAGTCGAACCAAACGGGCCTTTAGTTCGCTTGGAAAAATGAGTTAACGGAAAATGTTTTTCTATCGAAAGTTAAATTCAGAAAAATGATTTCCTCTTTGGGAGAACCGAAAAAATGTTTTCCAAATAATGATTAGGTATCGACGCTTGAACTCGAAACTATATACTTGGACATGGAAATCCCAACATTGGTTCCTGAGTCCTGCCACTCACAAGTCTTTGATGATCGGGCCCGAGTCCATAACCTCGGTGCTTCAACCTGGGTCCCCGACGCCCATGCTCGGGTCCATCAAGGCCAGGCCCGAACCCCTGATGCATGTGCCCAATGCTTCGACATCAAGCCCTGATCCATGATGGCCGTGCTCAGGTCCCTGATGCTTAAGCTCTGATCCTGACTCTTAGGCTTAGGTCCATTAAGACCATGCCCGGGTTCTCGGCACTTGGGTCTTTAGTTAATGAAACGTATGTTCTTATAAAAATATTTTTGAAAATTCAAATATTTATTTTTTTAAATTAGAATTTTTTTTTATTTTATTTTTGCCTTTTCTTGCTTTTTATTTTTGCTTCTTCCTTGGTCGACCATGAGCAAGGCTGCCGGCCTTAGGCGAGCTCGCGGCCTTTGGCGGCGAGGCTCAAGCTCACTAGAGGCTAGCAAACTTGGGCCTCGTCAAATTGGGCGAGGCCTCTGGTGACGAGGCTCGGGCTCGCTTGAGGTTGGCAAGCCTTAAGCTTGCTTGAGGCCAGCGACCAACCAAGGAAGAAGAAGAAAAAATCTATAATAAAAAATAATAAAAAAATAAAAAAACACAAATTTTTTGATAATTTTCCTCCTCAGATTTTCCTTATATACTTTCCTGATTTTTTTTTTTAGGTTTCAACCAAATATCGAAATATAAAGTCATTTTACTTTTCTGGAAAGTATTTTTCAGAAGTGGTACATTTTTTACGAAACAAACAGACCCTTAATTTGGCTTCGAATGTGGATCAACAAGAGGTCTCCCTAATAATCGCAACTCGAAAATGCCAACTTAGACATTAACGCTTGTAAATAGTCATTAAGTGTCGACGTTGGCATCTAATGCATTTTCTTGAGATGACGCCGTGGTAGATACACATTAGATGACTAAAATGTTCGAAGCCAACACATTCTTTCTCTCTCTTCTCATCACCTCACATCTGAATAGAGATGGCATAATTTTTGCTAAGTAAGCAACTCATGTAAGGATTTGTACGTAAACTTTGTCAAGTAAGCGAACCACGTCAACACAATCAAGTCACATGAGTAATTTGAAAGATTTAGGTAATTGATTGAACAAAGACAAAACTTTAGGTACTCAAAATATCATTGCCAAAGAAAAAACTCAAAGACTTCAACTCAAAAATTTGTAATGCTACTTTAGGATGTTTTTCTGATTTGCCTGTAAGTTTATCTAGAACTTCATTTCTATTTCATATATATATATAGATCACATCTTTTATTATTGTTTAGAATTTATAGTTCCTTAGCACAAAGGCATTGTCCTTATCAATTTTCTCCATATTTTTAATTTTTTTCCTTTTTACTCGTCCATAAAGCATAACACAATATAATTTTCTATCCTCTTCATATTCTTTTTTTTCTTGTTGTCAATCCTTTTATTTTCTTTTCCTCTACCCCCAAACATAGTATAAAATAAGAGAAAGTATGTAGCGTACAATTATGCTCCTCCGAGGAAGGGGGAAGCGTTCCGAACCTATTTTTAATCTAGATAATTCTATCCCATCTGGTTCTGTTTATTTTTATTCTTAAATTCATACTTTTGTGTTTGGATAATGCCAATATGTCGAGCCAAATATTTCGGTCGATGTCATGAAGACGATTAGAAGATACTGTTCACCCAATTCCTTGAGTCTCGTCCAAATTGATCATACGGTCGACTTATATTGATGATTTTTCGTCCAAACCGATCTCGCTCCGAATTAGGAAATTTCATGGCATGAAGCTCGAGATTTTTGTGTTTAGGATAACTATGAGTTTCGGGTCCATGTCAAGTCAAATCAGTTTAATTTTGGATTCCTCTCACTATTTAGAGTGCTTCAATTATGGTTAATTATCAAAGTAATCTTCCAATTACAGGCTACAAGGAGAAAAAAAGATGGAAAATGAGATGGTAACAGTCCGTTGTTGGCGATACAAGTAATGAACCATCGTCCACCGCCCACTTTCATTAGTAACCCGATATACTTGTTACATCGGTTTTCGATTTCTTACCCTTGCTGAATGCACACTACCTATTATTGCCGGTTGCCGATCATTTGGGAAAGAGAGTTTGTGATCGAAAAGGCACCGTTATTTCTAGAGAATAGAGGTACCATGACCTCAGCATGCTTCCGAAAAGATAGCTCTTAACTCATCAATTTAACATTATAAGAGGATGAACAATAGTTGCACCAGAAGCTCTATGGTATATCTGATCCTCTCTTTTCAATTAAACCCTCAAACCAGCTTAAAAAATTCATGATAGTCGCAGAACTACGTGATGATCACAGAGGATTTAATATAATATAACACATAACAATGTCCCTTTCTACTTTCAATATTTGTGAATAATTCGAATGACAGGTTGACGTGAGTCTTTCCAATTTGACATAGACACATTCGACAAAACAAGTTAAACGATGCTGGCCTTGCTAGCCAGCAAAAAACCCTTTTATTCCAAACTCAAACTCGAACCCCAATGAATGGCAACAACATGTAACCTTTGATATTGCAAAAAATAGAAATTAAATAACCAAATAATGAAAGGAACCATAAAATATTCTTAGTTTCAGCTAGCAATCGAAGTTCGGTCATCACTGTTTCGTGCCGGTGACGTGCCCGTGTCCTTCTCCGGGGCTCGGGCCCGAGTCCTTAATCCCTCCGAGCGTCTCCGAGTTGGTGAACTTGTGCCCCTCACCCGGGCTCGGGCCCGAGTCCTTAATCCCTCCGAGCGTCTCCGAGTTGATGAGCTTGTGCCCCTCACCCGGGCTCGGCCCAGCTTGCTTGATGGCCCCAAGCGACAGCCCATCGAAGAACCCTCCGCAGGCAACTCCCACCGGAGCTTTCGTCTCCATCACATTGAAGGGTCGAGCTTCGTTCGCAACGAAAATGGCGCTGAGCATCGCCAGGACCAAGAAAACGTGGAGAGCCCTTGTTGCAGTCCTCATGTTCGATGAAATTACTGACAGAGGCAAGAGAGCGCAAATTTTTTTATTTGTTTGAAGGCGAGCTTGTGATGGGGAGTCTATGGCCGAGCGGGTGCTTTATAGTGCGAGCTACGAGGAGTTTTGTTTGACCGGCTCTTCTTGATGGTTCCGATTTCCCCGTTCTCCTTCCCCTTTTTCTTCACAAGTTAATCACTAGTTTCCTGTTCAAATGCAACGTGAGGATTGCATTTCTGCATGCAGGCAGCTCGAGGAAGCAACGAGGGAGCTTCTGTTATAGACCAGAAGAGCGCACATGCAAGTTGGTGAAGAAGGAAGAATGTAGCGCACGACTGATTGACCGTTTACCGAAACACGTCTGCACTCGTCTAAAAGGCTAGATACATTTTATATTTCTCCATTTCACACAAGTAGAGAGAGAGAGAGAGAGAGAGAGAGAGAGAGAGAGAGAGAGAGAGAGAGAGAGAGAGAGAGAGAGAGAGAGAGAGAGACCAAGTTTGAAGGTCTAGAAGAAGGGAGACAGAAGTTGGACTGTAAATTCCATGGCTAGTTTTTCAGCGGGGGAGCTCGCATAGTCTAAGCAGCCATGGAGAAGCATGGTTTTACCCCAAACCGAAGACCAAAGACCACGGGGATGGAGGTGTATTTCGAAGACTATTTTGGGTCGATCGCTTGAATTTTCACAAGCAGACAATAATGGAACTGTCGGGGTAATCTCCCGAACGTCTTCGTCTGCGATGTGTATGTCCATCCCAACCAAAAGAGGTATTGACTTGACTTTGAATCACCGGACTAACGCATTCCTCGAAAATCGACTCCAGGAGCAAAAGTTGGGGAAATTGCAGAATCATCGAAGTTAAGTGATCGGGTGTTTTCATTAGCAAAATAAAATGACAATGTTTGATAAACCGTTTTCCCACGAAAGTTTAAGTTATATAGAAAAGTGCCGACAATATATTTAAAGCATATTTCTTAACACTCCTTCTCATCGGTCCCTTACACGCGCACGACCGGATGAGCAAGAAAACAAGCGGAATAACATCGATAATAGACAACAAATATTCATAGGAGGTGCTAGAATTGAAACTTTAAACTTGTGCTTTGTTGTTAGAAATCCAATATTTTATTAAAAAAACGTGTCAATAATGTGTTCATTGCATATTCCTTAACATATGAAAGTGTATGCAACATTCCTTCTTAGGAGTTCGATAACCCGTGGGAACTATTTCAACCTCTATTTTTCGAAATCGCCTAAGTGCTCTTTATTATCAATCATTAAGAAATGGGTGACATTGCTAATTAAAAAGTGGTGGACAAAAGTGTAACTTAAATTGATAGCACTATTAAAAGGCGTTTCATAAAATTTCTCCCATCTTCTAAACCTGAATCTTTCCTCGTTTCAAAAACTCAAATTAAATCAAAGTTTCAATATTTTATTTCTTTTTTTCACCCTTCTTTTTTCACTATACTTCATCACACATGACTCGTTATGTATAAGAAAAAGATGCTATCTGACCACTACCTATGAACCCGCCAATGCTGCCGAATCGAAAAGTTGCGTGGAAAAATTACCAAAAAAATCTTAAATATGTCTTCAATTTTTAATTGTGCCAATTTAATTCTAAACTTTCTAACGATTTGCAAATGTAGTTTTTCTGGCCAATTTTGGCTGGAAATTGCTAACGTGAATGTTGGCCTCTTATGTGGCACAATTGACGCCGACGTTGTTAGTTTTTGTAATTTTAAATTTAATTTTTCTGAAATTTATTTTTATTATTTTTTCTGTTTTTTTCCCACTTTGGGCAGGAGTTGGAAAAAAAGAAAGAAAACAAAAGAAAAGAACAAAAAATTCAGAACATTAAAAAAATTGAGGCTCTAGTTGCTTACACTAGCTTTGTTTTCTCAACTAGGCCCAGCCAGCCCAGGACAGGAGTTTCTTTGATTGTCTTTCTGTAACGGGTTTACTTCATTATAGGCTCTAGTTGCTTTCTCTGGCGTGTTTATAGGTGCTAGAGAGAGTTGGTGGATCTCCTATTGCCAAATCTAATTTTGCACCTAAATAGCTCTTAGATTCGCTAATTAATTCCCTTTTCCGACCAAATTTTTTTTTCCTTTACACCTTGAACCCATCTTAGATATACTTTGAACTTTTGCAAAGATGAGAGAAATCGAGTGCCGGATCGGGAAATTTATCGATTGCAAACTAAGAGGAACTTGTACATCATGTGAAAGGAGTCCCAAAATACTTACGTTCGTGGTGTATCAAACTTATTTATGGAACTCAGATTAAGAGTGCGTTTGTTTCGCAGAAAATGTACTATTTCTGGAAAATACTTTCCAGGAAGTCATTTTTCAGGAAAATGAGTTCATTTTTCGGTGTTTGGCTAAAACCTAGAAAAGACTTGGAATGTATTTTCAGTTATTTAGTGAGGAAAATTTGACGGTGAAAATTGCTGAAAATTTTCGTGTTTTTAAAATTATTTTTATTTTTATAAGAATAATTTCATTAATCAAGGACTCGTGCACGGTCTTTGTGAACTCGACTAGAGCTAGAGCGTCGGGGATCGAGCATGACTTTTGTGGACCCGAGTTCAGGTGCCAGAGCATCAGGTACAGACACGAGGGGTTCGGACTCGACCTTGATAGTCCCGGGCGTAGGCTACGAGCTCGGCCTTGTCGGCCCGCACTTGTGGCCTGTTGCGAGCCTCAGCAGCCGGCGATTGGCGGAGGGATGAAGAAGGAAAAAGAAAAAGACAAAAAAGGAAAAAAAATATTAACAAATTCAAGATGATCAATTCTGGAAAGTGTTTTCACCTTCTTAGATTAGGGAATTTACTTTTCTAATTTTATACACGAATATTTTCCTTAACCGGAAAGTGTTTTCAGTTGACTCATCATTTTTGACGAACCAAACGGGTGAAAGTTCAGAAAATGGATTCCCGAAAAACACTTTCCCTCAAACAAACACACCCTAAATATTATTGACACAAAAAATGCCCAAGTTCCTGACCGACGACATTGATTAGGAGAGAGCATGCAAGGCGTGGCAGAAAAAAAATTGCGGAAAAATTGTCCAAAAAGTCCTAAACCTATTGTAATTTTGCCAACTGAGTCATAAACTCTTCAATTTTGCTAATTGAGTCCTAAACCTTATTGCATTTTGCCAATTGAGTCATTCAGTCAATTTTGGCTAGAAATTACTGATGTGAACGCTAACTATCTTACATGATACGGCCGGTGCTGATGTAGATAATTATTAATAATATTTTATTGATTTTTTCCTTTTTTTCTCATTTTCTTCTTTTCTTTTTTTTCCCTTTTCTCTTCTTTTTTTTTTCTTTTCCTTTTTCCCTTCTTCCCTTTGCCAGCCATCACCAAGCCTCATCTCCGCCTGCCTCAGGCGAGGGCCGTCCTTGCTAGCCTAGGCTCGGGCGTCCCTCACCTGAGGCTAGCGACCTCTGCCAGCCATTGACGAGGCTTAGTGGTGGCCGTCGGAGGGAAGAATGGAAAAAGGAAAAGAAAAATAAAAGAAAAGAAGAGAAAAGGGAAAAAAGAAAAAAAAAGAAGAAAAGAAAAAAAAGGAAAAAAAACAAATAAAAAATCAAAAAATATTAAAATATTATTATGTATTGTCCACGTCAGCGTTGGTCATGCCACGTAAAATAGCTGGCGTCCACGTCAGTAAATTCTAGCTAAAATTTGACGGATAGACTTAATTGGCAAACACGATAAGGTTTACAACTAAATTGGCAAATTGAAATGTTTAGGACCGAATTGACAAAACATGCAATAGTTTTGGGACTTTTTGGATAATTTTTCCAAAAGTTCGCTAAGTGTTGGGAGCTTTCAATCGGCAAACATGGGCAGTCGACAGGCGACTAAATAATTGCCAGTAGCAAGAACAAAAGAAAATTACTAAGTCTTGCGGCATGAGTGTCGGTAAGAAGGCTCAATTTAGTCAACAGAAACTCAAGACCGAAGGGATTGGCAATGGATTAGACGCAAGGCAGTTATACAAGTAGTGGAGCCGACAATCGCGAGATTTGCTGTGAAGATCAACACAGTTGTGGGACCAACACGATTATCAAATCATGGAGCCGCTGATTTCGGAAGCCACTAGCTGTAGTGGACGAGAAATATGGGCCGTTGTAACTGTCACAAATTAGAACCATAGGAGTAACTATCCATGTTGGGCGCAATATTGAAGTAGTGGGTTTGTTTAGTAACTGCTTGTATATACATGTTACTGAATATTAGGAATTACGTGGGATGTGTTGAGCTTTCTTTTGCAAGTGTCATTAACTGTCGGTAATAGCTATGAGTATTAGGATTTTAATTCGAGTAAGAGACGGCCAATTAATAAAAAAACACAATTTATTCTATTATATTTACATTTCAATAACCATTTAAATGGTTGGTCATGATTGCTTAGGGCGCATATGATAACTATTCCGTTTTTCCGTTTTTTTAATTTTCTGTTCCTGGAAACGGGTTTTGAACAGAATTTTGTTTGGTAACGCAATTTCATTTTTCTTTTTCTGGAATAAATTTTGATTTTAGAAATAAGTTTGGAACAGAAATGGAATGGAAGTAAAAATTTTCTACTTTTTTATTTCTGGAACAGAAATGAGAAATAAAAATTCTTCTCATCGCTTGCTCTCGCTACTAGTTGGCCGCTCACCTGCCGCTCGCTGTCGCCACTGGTTGCCTCTCGCTCCCATTGGCTACCTCCCGTTGCTGCCAGCTGCTGGCCGCCTCCTACCATCCATTGCCGCCTGTCGGTTGCCTCCTGTTGCCGTCCTCTGCCGCCCATCGGCTATCATCTGTCGCTGTCCATTGCCTCCTGCCGCCTGTCGGCTGCCTCACGCTGTTGTCCACCACCGTTCGCCTCCTGCCGTCGTCAATTGCCGCCCGCCGCCTGTCTCCCACCATTGTTTGCCACCGCCCAACACTAGCCGCCTCCCACCATCGGTCGCCGCCTCCCGACGTCGTCCACGGCCGCTCGCTGGCTACCTCCTACCGTCCTCCGCTGTTGCCCGAAGTCGGCCATCTCCCGCCATCGGCCTCTCCTGCCGCCACCCGCCCGCCAGCTGCCTCTCTGGGCCGGCGGCTCGGGAGGGAGAAAATTTGTGTTGTTATC